CGAGGAGACTGTGGCGGGTGAGGGGGAGAAGGGGGGTGTGAATGAGGTTAGGAAGAAGGTTGTACCTTTTATGGAGTGGTTGCGGACAGCGGAGGAGGAGGAGAGTGATGAGGAGTGAAGGGATGAAGGATGATCGAGGGATGGATGATGGGCAGAAAGGGCGCAAGAGCGGTGTTGGCGAAGGGAGAAAAAGTGAATGGTGTGCAGATGAGCCGGTTGTTGTGGTAGTGGTATATGCCCTTATGGTTTTTATGATGGGTTTACGTGTGGAGGTGTCGCACTGGGTATTTGCCGAGATTGTTGGGAGTTTGGAAAGGGCTTGAGGATGGATGTGGTCTTTTCTTCCCCTTTTTCTTCTTTTTGTTTGTTTTATTTTCTTTTGGTTTAGCAATTCATAGTAACCTCAGATGGCGAGTTTCTGTGATGGGGTTTATTTTCTGGTTGTAATGACTTGGAATTATGGAAAGGTCAAGGAAATTGGTTTATGGTTGTGTCGAAATGTCGTATAACCTTGCACCCCGGTTGTTTCAATGTTGCACAAAGGTAGTCCAAATCACCTGGCGGTTCTGACCCTGGTTCTGACCTCCAAAAATGGCCTGCCTCATGGCGGTGACTTCTGAATCAGCTTCTAAACACTATCACCACATCAGGAAAGAATTACGGCCAGAATGAAGGCTATGTAGCCTATGTTAATAAAACTTGATTATTATGCATGACCTGATCAGTTTTGCAAGGATATGCAAATCTCGAAAACAAAAACGGGTGAAAACAAAATGGATATGTCATGCTTAAGTCATGTAAATTACGTATCTTCGAACACATACATTTCGGTACCGCAATGCTCCGACTCAGGATCGAACTGAGGACCCCATGCGTGTGAAGCATGTGTCATACCACTAGACCATCGGAGCTTGAATGACACACGGGAATCGCAATTCACAAATGCAAAAGCACTTTATAAACCGGCACTTTGAGCTCTCCCCCACAATGAACCCCACTTTACCCTTCTGCGATTTCAAAAGAAGTGGTATGTGGCTTCGGGGCTGATCATAAGCTCATGATCTGCTGGGATCGGTTGAATCTCATCGAAAAAAGGGTCAACCAATCGCCAAGGCAAGTCCCCGTCTAAGCCGTTAGCATGGCCGCTGAGCGGTCAACAATTAAGTAGTGGGCGCTTTTCCTTTTCCGCGCGATAAAACAAACCCCATCATCTGCATTTCTTATAGATTAACGAATAGGTGAAGAGGCCTTCGGATTGACGTTCATACATACTGGCTGATCTGCTGTATGGTCTATTGCGGTTTGAGTGGGTTGAACGCGTTCGAAAGCTTCGAATAAGGGGACAAACGAATAAGGGGACACACGCTCACCGCGTTTGGCGTTTCACTCCTTATGCTCCCATGTCCAATATTCCTCCCTGCATTTTCAAATCCAAGAGGGGGTGGTATCACTGGGCCGGATATGCGTGATCAAGAAGAATCGATGTGTGTTTTGCCAACCCTATGCCGTTGACTGGGTTCCTGAGAATATTTCGCAGCACCTCATGGAATGACGTGAGAAATGGTCCGGACATATCTAGTACAAGAATTAAGGTCTTCAGGCTTCATGCCAGGGCAACTGACTTGTCTTCCTTCAGTCGGAGAAGGGCATCTTGGAAAGTTGGAGAAGGGCATCTTGGAAATAGTTGGAGAAACAGGGGCTGGGCTGGGGGCCGGAATGCATATAAATGGGAGAGTACCCTCTATAAAATGATAAGTCTGAATGCTGCCGTCCTGTCGAATGCTAAGAAACCTCCCTCATCGTACGTCAAGTTGCGCTTCAAACACGTTTTGCGGTGTCAGTAGGTAGTTGCCTATTTATAGCGATCTCTCCTTGTAAGTCTTTTTGAGTATTGCAGACGCTGTTTCCCGCTGTTATATGCGGTACATCGCGCTGTTTTTCCCGGCGGTGTCGAGGAACCTTGGTCGTAGATTGCGAATAAATGAAAAGGCACCTTAAATTAGCATAATAAACAATAATCTTCTCGTGTGGGTCAGGTTGCGTAGTGTAGTGGTCATCACTTCAGACTTTGAATCTGAAAACCCGAGTTCGAATCTCGGCGCGACCTATCTTGGATATTTTCTTCCAATTATTTTCTGGTGTGTTCAGAAACAGTTTACTACGCTTGCCTCCACACTTATGTCATCACACCTTGCTTCAACCCTTTTTCTGCACAATTCACCAATCTCTCCTCTTGAACATGAATAATGTACACCGTGTTATACGGCTGTCAATCTCATTCCTTGCCATAACTATGTCAATTTGTTATCCACTTGCAATGTCTCAGTCCCGCTTTCATCGAATATACAGTATATGTATCATTAACGATAACGAACACTACACGAAGTATAGGTATGAAAAGTCGAAAAGAAACGAAAGATGGAGGCCAACTTCAAACTCAGGGCGACAATGCCTCAACCTCCTCATCTACCACCTCCTTCTCAACCGGCATACCAATGCTTGTCCCCCACACAAAGAACCTCAACCCCTCAAACCTCTCCAAATTCTTCACCGCCCACACCCAAACACCCAAGCTTCCCAAACAAACCACAAAATCCACCACCAAACTCCCTCCAAAAATCAGTGAATGATAGGTCCACGCCGTCTCCGCCGTGATGTTAATCCTGGTCACTGCCACCGCCCACGGCAGAACGTAGAGGATGTTGCTGGCGAGACTTTTGAGGAGGAACCACGCTGGCCAGGTGGCGAGGAGGATGGTGGTTAGTTGGATGGAGACGGCGAAGAGGACGTATGTCCAGTCGATTGTGCGCCACATCATGGTTGCGATGGAGGAGACTTGGGCGTTGGAACTGAGGTAGAATGCCAGTGGCTCGAAAAGCCAGAAGGAGAGGATGATCGCGATGACTACTTCGACGGATAGGGCGATTCCGGCGGCGTAGACGGCGTATTTGATGATTTCTTATTGGGAGAGAAAGGGATTGGAAAGTGAAATGTCAATAAACGATATTGCTTTCTCCACCGTCGAAACGTAAATTGAAATCTTACCCCAAATATCCTTCCGATCCGGCTTGTTAAACTTCCCAGTCCTCTGCTTATGATTGAAAACCCCCCATTGATGTCCCGTGAAGACCGCCGCGGATGCCTCAAGGGATTAGGCAGGCACCATCACCAAACCCCACCGAATTGTGTTGAAGATCCCCCACGCAGTAACATAGTCGCTTCCTAATGCGGCGATCCCGGATATGAGCCACAGGTAAAGCGCGTTTCGGATTGCGGATTCAAGGAGGGTGAATAGGCCTGGCTTTGCAAGAATACGGAGAGACTTGAGGTCTATGAGACGAGGAAGGGGGGTTGTATCATGGGCCGGTTGCGATCCAGCCGTTGGAGAGGTTGCTGCGTCGTTTTGGTAATGATATCGGTTTCTTCGCCGTGGGATTGATGACGACGGATCGTGAACGCAAAGTAGGCGAGCCCCGCCAACGCCCCCATCCCATCACAAGTCAACCGAATTGCTGCCTGAGTATCAACAGTTGGATTTCTCACCACGCGAACGGGAGATATCAACGCAATATCCATCACAATATTCGCCAAAATCTTCACCAAGCTGATGAGCAACGGGACATCCGGCTGGTTGTTTGATCGTGTTGAAAGCGCGACTGCGTACTCCGTGATTGAGAAAAGAGTCGAGAACGCACTGATGCGGACGTAAACGATCGACTGGGATTGTGCTTCGGGGGGCAGGAACCCAGATACGAATGCGGGTGCCCCGAGGACGAACACGATGGACATGATCAAACCGAGGAACATTTGCAAGACGATAACGGTGGACATGAGTTGAATGCGTTGGTTGCGCGGACGATTTTTGATATCACCGATGATCAGGTACGCCGCGCGAGGGAGACCTCCATTGACCACTTCCGCGAAGATGCCCACATAGACGTATGCGTCTGTGGTGACAACCGATGATGAATCAAGTTGCGCAACCCAGAGCTTCGAGAGAGTCGCGTAAATGGCGGGTAGGAGGAAAGTGACGGCATTAAAGAAAACGTGGCCTTGGAATGTTGCCACCGAGAAGAAGTCGGTCCATTTTCGGGTTGCCATGGCCGGAGGTGCGGGAGGTGAATGAGGTACTGTGTTCTGAGGTGGACGGCGTGGGATAGTCGCGTTGAATCCAGACTATAAAGTTTTTCGGTATGGAAAACATCGCTTTTATGTGGTTTTGGGGTTTCTGTGAGCGTGGGAACCTTTGTAATCGTGTCACCAGGCGTTCGGAAATGGTCAACAAACTGTCATCCAAATGTCCGACATCTGTAGCACAACAACGTGACAAACCGCCAAGTACCTTGCACATCTGAACGATGGCGCGAGTTGCGTTTTGTGGATGTGAAATGTACGCCGCTTTGCAAGTATATGGGCTTTCTGGGCTTTCCAAATACTGGTGGATCCTTCAAAGTTATTTGAGACTCCCAACATCGTCTTTCAATATTTGGATCCAACAATGCTAACAATCACCTATTCAACCATCGTTCGCAACAGCATCTAGTCTTACAAATCTAAATCCGTATCTACATCATCCTCCACCCATTCCCCCATCCATTGTGAACGAGATCGTTTGTTTGTCCAAAGGTCATTGAACGTGTGTTGACATTGAGAAATTTGTGCGACCACCTAGTAAGAAAACCGAAAAAAAGCTTTCTGACAAACATGTTTGGTGTCCGAATCTGATTTCCTTTTCTTGTGCATATCCCACAAACTCACTCTCACATCAACACCAGACAACCAGCCGCACATCCGCGCTGTGAAGTGGATTCATGCACGCACAGTCCACACGCACCATCTAAACATGCACCTGATCTTGTTTTCCCAAAATACAAGAAATACAACTTAAATTGAGGAAGCGACAGACTAACTGGAAGAAACCCATTCATACACTAATACACGTTAGCCCCTACATTCGAAAACCCCGCATCCGATTACCAACTTTCTCCATATTCCCTCTTCAAAGCTTCTGATCCCTGCTCTTCGATTCCTTAAGCTTCAAAATCTTCTCCACAAACGACTCCAAACTCTGCACTTCACCCTTCATTTTCGAAGCCGGGTCATCCCTGTTCCGGACGTTAACACTCCTCGACTTCTCTTCGTCAGCACCAACGACCAAGATGAAGTTCCACTGCTCAAGTTCGGCGTTACGGATTTTGTTCTTGAGGGTACGGTCTCCACAGTCGGCCTCAGCATAGAAACCCTTGTCGGAGCAGAATGCAGCAACCTCGCGGGCGTAGTCGTAGAAGTTCGGGGCGATGGGGATGACAATGATTTGGCGAGGGCTGAGCCAGAATGGCCATTTCCCGCCAAAGGATTCAGTGATGATGGCAATCATGCGCTCGACGGAACCGAGGATAGCACGGTGGATGATGACGGGGCGTTGGAAGGGGTTGGCCGGGTCGTCTGTACGGTATTCGAGGTCGAACTTGATGGGGAGCTGGAAGTCGAGTTGGATAGTCGCGCATTGGTGCTTGCGGCGGAATGCATCCGAAATGGTGATGTCGATCTTGGGACCGTAGAAGGCACCATCACCAGGGTTCAGGGTCCATGGGTGACCGAACTTGTTGAGGGCCTCCTCGAGCAGCTTTTCGGCCTTGTTCCAGGTTTCGATCTCACCCAAGTACTTGTCCGGACGCGTGGAGAGGGCAAGGGAGAAGGTGAAGCCGAAGATGCCGTAGATGTGTTGGAGGAAATCCAAGCAACCGTCCATTTCGGAACCGAGCTGATAAACACAACCACATGGAGCAGTTAGATGACGAACGACTACCACAACCTCAACGTAATTCCAGTTTATAATGGAGCAAAAGTCTAAGAATAACTCACCTGGTCGAGCGTGCAGAAGATGTGTGCATCATCCTGTTGGAACCTC